TTTTTTTTTTTTTTTTTTTTTTTTGTACTGGGATTGAACCTCGGGTCCTTGAGCTTGCAAGGCAGGCGGCAGCATCACTGAGCTAAATCCCTGGCCCCTGTTGTCCTGAATTTTGACATCCTTTTATTAGGTCTAGAATTTTAGAATTTCGGAAATGTCAGTGCTGCTTATATTTGTGCTTTTTAATTTGCTCCTAATGTTGGCCATTTCTATTGAGTCTTAGGAATATTAGTTTTAAAATCACAGTGTCTTGGTTGTTTTTCATTCTTTTACCCCAAGCCAGGTTTGAGTTGAAACTATTATAGATGTCTAAACTCTGACAGAGTAATGAGTACATATTTAAGATAACTGTAGTTTTTCCAACATCAGCATAGCAAAAGAATTTCAGTCCAGTCAGTGTTTGGAAGATCTCTTAAAGTATAGATAATCAAGATTTGCCCTTTATCTGACATTTTAGTACATATGTGGATATATACAGTTCTATAGCTTAATGTGTACAGTGAGCAAATTCTTGAATTATGTTCTGGTTTGTGCCTGTCCCACTCGAGTGAGAGTCTGCTTTTAGTAGCCATTTGTAAAACCTTTTTTTAAAAACAGGGTTTTGCTATGTAGTTCAGGCTGGCCTTGAACTTGCTATGTATTCCAGGCAATCCTCCTGCGTTAGCCTCCTGAATGCTGGGATTACATGCATGCAACACCAAGCCTGGCTTGTAAAAACATTTTAAAGTTTCATTAGAATTTACATTTTATTCTCTACTTCAGTTGCATTCTGCCTGTATTTGCACATTTGTGTGTGTGTATGTGGTAACAGGCATTGAACCCAGTGCCTTGCACGTAGCTACAAGCCCTCTACCACTGAGTTACATCTTCAGCCCTTGTTTAATTTGGGGCGGGGGATAGGACCCACAGAATTGCCCTTCAAATTTGTGAATCTGCCTTAGCCTACCAAGTAGCTGGGATGAGTCCATTTCTTGGTATCTCAGGTATATGCCATCACACTTAATTTTTAACATTTTTTGATTGCTGATAATTTAAAGGAATCAAACCTTTAAAACCAGATTCACTGCCATGACCAAAAACAATGTTTCTGTTTGCTTTCTTGATACTTTAATCTATATTGATACAAAAACATCTTGCTTACTCTGAAGGTCAGAGTCTAAATGAAGCATTTTTCTCATTGCTTATTGACAAATATACAGAATTCTGAATATCTTAAAATGATTTTCATTTAATTGAAATATAGTGTGTACTCTTTTTTTTTGTGTGTGTGTGTGTGTGTGTGTGTGTGTGGTTTTTTGAGACAGGGTCTCACTATGTAGTTGAGACTGATCTGGAACTCACTTTGTAGCCCTGGCTGGTCTCAAACTCAAAGCGATTCTCCTGCCTCAGCCTCCCGAGTGCTGGGATTACAGGCGCGAGCCATCTCTCCCAGCTTAGTTTGTACTCTCTTGATAGTTAAAGCTCTTACAAACTTATTTTTAAATTTGTTACAACCAGAGGAGTGGAGTGTGCCCATTGCAGTTAGGTGTGTGCAAGGAGAACACTGAAGAAAAGTGAAAGGAATAGATCATTATAAAGGCTATCTGGCTAGTGAAAGGAAAAAAGAAAGGGATCCAGATAAGTAGGAAACAATTTCTGGCTCTACAACAGTAAGATCATATTAGGAAGCTAATCTCTGAGCAAGTTTCTGTTTCTAGAAGGGGAGTCACAGATTGACCAAGGCTGAAAGCTGAGAAGCACTCCATCAGGTTGCAGCAAAAGCTAAGGTTGGCCTGCTTTGGAGCCATTGGTCTTCCTTAAACTAAATTTACCTTTTATAAAAAAGACCAAAGGAAAACAAGATATGATTTTGACAGTCTCACTTAGCTTTTAAATAGTAGCAGACATTGATGTCAAAATTGGTTATTAAATTTACAAAATGGTAAATGGTGAATTTTAAAAATGTATGGGGGTGTTAGGTGTGTTCGTTAGACTATTCTAATGCTAATGACTACATTTTAATAAGACCCGCAGTTCTCCCCGGGGTTGTTCGCTTAGTAATTTGTCATTTAAGAACACACTGTCAGAATTAGACCTGATCTAAATTTAAAAGAAAGGGGATGCAGTGCATTTCTTGGGAACTGAAATTGAGTCTGTGAGTTATGATAAACTCAAGTTCTGTGACTCTTAATGATGTTTCCCTGTTACTAGGTTCTTTGCATCAATGTAGATGTTATCTCAGATATTTCGAGGACCCTTCCAGCAGTCAGAGATTCTGGGCCAGGTGCTGACACTGTGGTGCCAAATATGTAATATGCTGGGGCCCTGAAGGAGTTGCTTTGTGGAAAGTATTGAGCTGAAGCCTGGCTGAAGGCTGAGCAAGAGGCAGAGATGCTCCCAGTCTGTCTATTCAGGCAGAGAAAAGTTCCACAGCACAGTGATAAAAATCCACTTGACAGGATTTAGATTTTGTGTAACTTCTATTATTAGTTGTTTCCCCCACCCCCCCAAAATTTTTTTATTCTAATGAAGCCTTATTTAAAACAGAGCTTAAAAACTGTAGTAATGGTTAAATGGGATCTAGAAAGCTATTAGGCTCTGAACTAATTTGCTCCCTTTTTTAGTAAAATGTTTTTAGATAATCATGAATCAAAGGTATTATAAGAATGAAAATTGTAATGGAACAGCACAAAATAATACACAGCACCAGCTGCTTTGTTATTATAGCCCATGTATTAAAGTAAAATACTATTGGAATACCATACATTAATTTTTTAAGGTTTTTTTAAAAAAAATTGGTAACTTAGGAATGGAGAATTTAAATGTAGGAATTATGATTTATTTTTATAAGATAATTTTTATCCTGATAAGGACTTAAAAAAATTTTTTTTACTTAACATCTGAAATTTTAAACATGTAAATACATTAGAGAAAAAACATTATAGTACATTACTAGATTCTCAGTGTGTTTTTTCTTTTTTAACTTGGGGTATAAAATAGGTAGAATAATACTGAATTCTGAAGACTATAATAAAGGACAACAAATACCTTTATTAAGAGATGCTACTTCTGTTAAGCCTGCCCATAAGCGAATTTTTATCTGAAGCTTTAATAAACATTTTGGGGAGGCTCTTTTCCCTATTCCGTACTGTATCCCTAACATAAGATACTTGGAATGTAGCTCTTGCCTTAAAGTAAGTGCCTCTGTTATTCCTAAATCATTGCTTGACTGCTTTACAGGACAAGGATGAGTTCTTGGAGCAGTGTAGCCTATTGAAGTTACAGAACAATAGGCCCTCTTTTCTGGACATGTGTGTTTGTTTTGCCTATTATGTAAGAGCCTACATGTGTGTAGAGATCATACTGCCTCCTAATAAATTGTTACTCTAATAAAATATTACTGTGTCTGAATTATCTTAGTGGAAGGGAGATTCTAAGAAGCACATGTAGGCACCATGAGTTTTAAAATACCATCTTTTTACATTTGGAGAGTGATGATGAATTTTTTTCAACCATAACAAAGGGATTTGTCACCATAGAAAGATATAAAGAAACCCAGTTCTTTTCTTTTAGGGACTCAGTTTTTCCATCAGTGAAGGGAGGAAACTAGACTGCTCAAGGACTCTTCCAGTTTTTATATTGCATGATTCCTACTTTATAGGGTAGAATCACAAAATCGAAAGGCTCACCTTTTACAACTGACCTAATTCTGAACTTGAGCAATTAACCTTTGAGCCCTTTCTCAGCAGTAAACTAAAGCTAACACCTTATGATGACTAAGTGGGAGAATTGGGAGGCACATTTCTAGCTGATCCATGTTTTGTGAAGGATAATCTGTACCCTATTTGTTTCATTTTAGAGTATGATCTCAATGTGCATCCACGTAGCTATAAATGTCTAAGCTCTTTTTTTTTTTTGTACCAGGGATCAAACTCAGGTCCTTGAGTTTGCGAGGCAGGCAGTAGAACCACTGAGCTAAATCCCTGGTCCTAAACTCATTCTTTATGGCTGAATAGTATTCCATTTTATTTTAAAAAAAATTTTATCTAGTCTCCAGTTGATGGGCAATTGGGCTGTTTCCAAGTTTTAACTATTGCACCCTGCTGCTATGAGCATGGGTGCACACATATCTTTTAATTCTTTTGGGAAGATATCCAGCAGGGGAACAGCTGAGTCAAATGGGACCTCTAATCCTAGTTTTCTGAGGTATCTCGCCACACTGATTTCCACAGTGGTTGCACCAGTCTACACTCACCAACAGTAGAGAAGGGTTCCTTTTTCCCCACTACCCTTCCAGCACTTGTTACTGTTTGATTTCTTGATAGCAGCCATTCTTTCTGGGGTGAGGTAGAATATCAGCACTGTTTTCATTTGCATCTATCAAATGACCAGTGATAGGTCACATGTGTAAATAGTTTCTCTGTTATGAGAAACTGAAAGTATAAGTAAGGATCAAAATATATAATAGATGATATGAAATAGGAAGAAAAGTTCTGAAGGGGAAGAAGGGGTAGGGGAAAGGAATAAATATGAGAAAAGGGGGAAATGGAAACAAAGTCTTTGTAAATAAAGGGTAGAGGGGTTGAATGGAGGGCAGGAGAATAGGAAAAAAATAAGAACCAAGATATATTATGTAAAGGTACAAGTTACCAATAATGACAGCATATTGTAGAAAATGTACCAGTAAAAATGAATGAATGGAAAAAATCTGTGCCACTGCCCTCTTCTTGGGAGGTACTCTCCTTTATGCCTTTCAGATTGAAAAAAAACCTGGGCATGAGGCTTAGGACAGGATTTAGTCCTCTTATAGTAACTTGGGCATTCTGCCCCAATTCTGTTCCCACCCAACAGAAATTAGACTGAATA